ACATTTTGTGTTTTAATATAATTTTGGATAATTTGAAGGAGTTTCTTTTTAATATCAATTTTATTTAGATAATCAATATTTAACAAAGAATCATTTTCAGACTTAGTAATATTTGAAGCAATACGTTTAAGTTCATCAGAATCTAATACAATTATTGCAGTAATAAAAATATCAGAACTTTCACCATAAATAAAACATTGAGAAATAAGAGGCATAGTACAATATTTATTTTCTAATGGTTCAACTGCTATATATTCTCCTTGTGCTAATTTAAATAAATTCTTTTTTCTATCAATAATAGCTAAAGAACCATCAGGACATACTTTTCCAATATCTCCAGTAGCAAAAAATCCTTCATCATTTATTACTGCTTTTGTAACTTCTTCATTTTTATAATAACAAATAAAATTTTGTTTACTTCGTATTTCAATTTCTCCAGATGGATATTCATCATCAATTGTATAATTCATCTCTGGTACACTTACTAATCTTATTTCTACATTTGGACCACATGATCCAACATTTAATATATTTAAATCTGTCATATATGGAAGAGAACAACATATTCCACCAAATGTTTCAGTTAACCCATATCCTTGAAGGATAATAGCACCAGAACATACTCTTAACCATTCATATAATTCTTCAGTTAATGGTGCACCTCCATTTAAAATATATTTTAATTTACCACCAAATACTTGATGAATTTTATAAAAAACAATAGTATCCCAATTTATATAATTCCAACTTTTATTTTTGATAGCATTTAATTTATAATAATAACCAATATTAAACATTACTTGTGAAAAATATCCAAGTTGATTATAAGTTTCATTAAATTTATCATAAATCTTTTGTAAAACTCGAGGTACTGCAATAAAAAATGTTGGTTGACATTTACTTAAATCTTCTATTAATGTTGGAATTCCTCCTGAAATAAAACCAATTCTACCACCACCATAAATAAATCCATGAGTTACTTCTTGGTCAAGAACATGTGCTGATGGTAAATATGAAAAATATGTTTGTTCTTTCATTGGACTATCTTTAAATAATTCTGCACTATTTATTGTATAAGAACCATAACTTGCACTTTTGAATGAATGAACTGCACCTTTTGGAATTCCTGATGTGCCTGAAGTAAAAATTATAGAAAATGTATCATCCATTGTTGGTAATTGAGGATCAATTAAATTACATTTTCCTTCTTTAATTAAATTATCAAATGTAGAATATGAAATAGTAGGATTTATATGATTCATAATATCTTCAAAAGTATCAAAACATACAAGTGTGATTTTATGATTTCTCTCACA